AACTTATTCTGTAGCTCGGCCAGCTCAGCTTTAGCTCTCGCCAGTTTGGAGGAGTCTCCTTCCCTAGGATAATCTTCTCCTTCTAGGAAACTTGCAGCGAATTTTCGTTCCATCTCTTTTGCGGTCGCCATGATCTGTTGCAGCGTATGATTGATGCGGGAGAAATGTTTTCGCAGCTTCGCCCTTATCGCTCTGTTGCGAAGTCCGTCAATAAACAAATCCCTTCCTACCTGTTTGCCTCGTTTCGTTTTTACAAACATTCGGTAAAATTGGTTTTGATACTCGGTGACAGACTCTAGGGGTTTTTTGACTCGATCTTTAATTATAAAGAGGGCATGTTCCGGATGGATATAATCAAATCAGTTCAGAAAGTCTCGCTCGAATGTCGGGAGATCAACCCATACATAGGTGCTGAACCAATGATGAGTGTCTCCCCCTAATCGAGCGGGAATGTTTACATGTGCCTCGTTGTCATCGTACTGCTGAGCTCGGAGCGTGGCCAGCCATGCTCCAGCAAGGTGATGAGCGGGATCGAACAGATAGAGATCGGGTGGGGCCATGGGCGCCCGTGCTCGTGGTGCGGGTTGATAACGATTGAGCTGCTGATTGGGTTTCTGTTGTGGGTTCAGGTTTTGTTGATTAGCGTTCATGTTGGCCACCCGTCAAGCCGCAGACCGACTTCTTGTAACGACGGGGTCGCGTCGATGCGAGTTCCGAGGTCGAGGTCGTCCCCTGTTAGCTAGATCGCTTTTCTACCGCCCTATGAATCCTATAACCTTGCCACGTGCCGGCTCCGATACCAACCTCACGCCCGGCGAGACTTCCTAATCGGAGTGGGATGTGGGCCTGGAAGTCCGAAAAGGGGTGTGCCAAGGATTTTTGGGAAAGTGGGGGTGGGGTCCCAGGTCAGAACTGAGATCTCCAGTGGCAAGGTTCCAGGGGCATAGGTGCATTGAGAACGAGGGGCGGGTTACCTTCGGTCTGATGGCGGTCAATGCCGTGCAGCGTAAGGTAGATGGCATGCGCGGCACATCCCGGGGCTGTCCAACCCGTCTGTTCCAGTGTCGGTGGTTCGGAAGAGGTCCGTTCGAGGGCTGTCTCTTATACACATCTAGATGTGTATAAGAGACAGCTTTCAGCCTGATGGAGGTCGATGTCACGCAGCATAAGGCAGATGGCATGTGTGGTGCATCCGGGGCTGTCCAACCCGTCTGTTCCAGTGTCGGTGGTTCGGAAGAGGTCCGTTCGAGGGGGGGGGGGGGTTGCAGGTTCTATGGGTCGGACCTCCGAGTGTGGACACGTGTCGAGTGACTTCGTGCATTATAGTTAGACTCCATAGTTCCAAGGGCTCGGCGGTTGCCGCGTTGTCTGCAATTTCTGCACGGCGTGTGGGGCCAATACGGGGTTATGGAGTTCCACGGTACCACCGTGAGTTGGTGGTATGGGAGGAGGATGTGGAAGGGAGGGAAATTGGTGGCAATAACGACGAATCAATCAATCAATCAATCAAGCAAGCAAGCAAGCAAGCAAGCAAGCAAGCAAGCAAACAAGCAAGCAAGCAAACAAGCAAGCAAGCAAACAAGCAATCAATCAATCAATCTTTGTCGCTCTCGTGTGTTTTCAGGGACGGTGGCCCGTCGGTGGGGTCTGCGAGGATAGGCTGGGGTCCAGGAGGATCGATGCAGAGGATCCGCCAAGCGGGGCTGACGTTGGCCATGTGTCACCTGAAGGGTGTGCACATATGTGGAACCACGAAAGGTGTGCACGTACGTGGTACCACAACGGTTGTGCACGTATGTGGCACCACGATGGTTGTGCACATACGTGGCACCACGACAGTTGTGCACGTAGAGGATTGGGCTCAAGCTCGGGGAGTTTTGAGATCGGGATTGGGAAGGGTTTTTCAATTAGGAAAAAAAAACGTAAAAAAAGAAAAAAACTAGGGAAAAAAAAAACACATGGCGGTTTGTCACGTGGCAACCGCACGGATAAGAAGATCCATTGTGAGGCGCAGAGGAGGACGACGGTTGCCACGTGGCAATTGATGAGACGAAAAAAAGGAGGAAAAAATAATTATTAGAAAATAAAATAAGAACAATGAAACATAAAAAATTGTGCGACAGTTGCTACTTGGCACGCGGCGAGCAGCGGACAGTTGGCGTTGCCACATGCCACGTGGTGAGCAGTGGAGGATAGCGACAATAAAAGGAAAAGAAGAAGAAAAATAATATTTAGAAGAAGAAGAAGAAGAA